ATTCAGACAAAAGACTAAGTTGGAGGAAGTGTGTCAGGGGTCAGACTGATTGCTTCATACGTCAGAAAACATGTTGTGGCTCCATGCCATCATTTAAGGAACAGTGTGATAGTTTATATTAAGTAAACAATGATAGGGACAAGGGGGAGAAGCCAGTAACAAATGACCAATTCAGTTTTTTAACCTGTAGAAAAACCTAAGATTTGGAACCAGGTTATTTTTTTTTAAAGTCCCCTTTTATTCTAATGGTAAAGTTTCTGAGTTGTCTTTTAAATCCAGTGTCACTCGAAACTGAAAATAAGTTACCAGAATGTAGAAAAGCCTGATTCTCTCAGTCCCTTTCAGTGGTAGCCTTGAATGTGAGGCACACAAATCTAAAAATATGAGTCTTATTAAAGGAAAAGTGAGTCTGTAGAAGGGCTGTCATCACCTGAGATCCTCTGCTGTCCTTTTTCTCTTATATTCAGAGATAATGGATACTTTGTCAAAACGGATCAATAATTGATGGCAGAAACTACGTCTAGAACACATTTAGAGGCTCTTAGTGTTGGCTATTTTAGTGGTTCAGAAAACTCTTCCACTCTCTGAGACCTGGAGTCATGCACTGGAATTAATCTCAGCCTCTTTCGTCCTGTTTCACCTTTCTGGAATATCCTCGGAGCTGCGTTTAAAAGCGGTTATTTTCAGCTGTGGGGGAACGGCTGGAGACCTGAGCTCGCTGGGCCATCTGGCCTGGCCTCAGTGTGACGGCACCAGGGTGAAGGCTCCACGATCAGGACCCTGCTGGAGAGATATATTAAAGCCCGAGATGATTATTTTGACATTGATGCAATATCATTGTTCTCTGGTAATCCCTGTGACATTTTCATTAAGCACTTACATCTGGAAAGCTCTCCTGGAAACTGAAGCCGGGATTGCTGTGGATAGACTCAGGACGCCATTGTTGCTGTTCGGATCCTGTTCTGTGCTGCTCGCCTTAGCAGGCACGCCACAACGCAAAATAAATACAAAAAATGGTCACAAATAAGTTCTTCTTCACAAATGGAACTGCAGCTAACTGATGTATTTGTGCAAGAAAAATAGAAAACAAACTTCTGCTTTAGTATGAACCTGTACTCAATCTATTTTATTTGGAATATATTACGTTTCTTTCAGTAATCTGGGATTTATTTGGATTACATCCAATTTATTTATTTATTTGACCAAATATTTGTGTATTATTTTTTATTTATAGATTAATTTACTTCTCTATTTATTGCCAGAAGCTAGTAAACAAGGGGTTGGGGCAGATTAATTAATAACTATATAGATAAAAATAATGAAAAACTAATGAAAAATAATGAAAAAAATTGTAAAATAACGAAATAGTCAACACTAGCTGAGTAATGTTTTTGATCAGTTTTGCATAGACATTTTGCAGCTTTGGTTGGAAACGTGCTCATAAAGCTGCTCTACCAAAGCGTCTGATGTGGAGTTTTAGTCCACAGCTGTCATGTCCATCCCTCAGACGTCCTCATCAGCGTGTTTCTACCTCCAAACCGTCAGCTGAGCTCAGATTTCAGCTCCTTTGTGCCGGACAAAACGAAACCTTGTGCTTCAGGAATGGCCGGCCACTGATTCCCCCGGCGTCAATGATCCCTTTGTGTGGGGCTCCTCGGCTTCTTCAGCCTATAGAGTCTGACACAGACCCCCTCTCAGCAGGTCGTTATGTCACCATCTCAAGTGTCAAACAATCATAGATTCTGAAACCTTAGCTGGCTGTCAGCACGGCGCTTGACCCGCGATGGCCGACGGGCCTCCTGCCAGGTGAGAAAGGCCCCGAATTAGAAACCAGGAGGTAACTGAGAGGAGGTGCTCGGTGGTGCTGCCCAGCCCTTTCTCCCCGGGGATCACAAGGGTGATGCTTCAGTTTCTTAGTTAAAGGAGACATATTCTACCCTATTTCAACAAGTTAAGCTAGTTCCCTGGTGTCCTAATGTAATGTCTGTAACAAGCTTTGGTCAAAATCGCATAAGGATGAAGTCCAATAGCAGTTCAGTCCCCCTGCCTAACCCTAACCCTAACCCTAACCCTAACCCTAACCCAAAACAGCCCCGTTCAGAGCGCTCGCTTTGGAGTGCCTGTCTCTTTAAATGCAAATGAGACACAGGCAATCCACCCACTTCTTCAGGGAGGTGTGCCCACATCGGCACGCTGACGCTACCATGCTAACGCTACCATGCTAACGCTACCATGCCAACGCTACCATGCTAACGCTCACGCTACCACGACGTCTCCACAGATAGGGGAGTGAGCTGAGGGGGGGGGCAACATGCAGGTGAAAGGCTGGAATATTATAATGAGCTAGAGCTAATGACGTCAGAAACTACCCACTCCTGAAACCTCCTGATTTATCTCCTGGATTCAGACTGAGGCAGCCCACAAAAACATGGCCGAGTCATTTTTTTTCACACTTTGCCTGCTGACAGGCCCTCCACAGTCCCAAATGTACACAATCAAATTATTAAAAACTGGCTGCATGGATGCTGTCAGGTAGAGAAATCCCCTCCCAGGCAGACATGGCAAAGCTAAGCCGTTTGTCTCAAATTTTATATACTGTACACCGATTTCCATTTTCAATCCCAGTGTTTGTTCCAGAGCAGAAAGGCTCTGGGTCCACTCGGGGAAGCGGACCCGGGCCTGTGTGAGCGGCTCTGGTGTGTCATAACCCGCTGGGACGCCAGCCCTGCTGGAATCCGCTAGCAGCTGTCTCTGACCTATTTATGGAGCTGATGGATGTCAGGTGAAGAGATCCCTTTGTGGGGCTGGCTTTTGTGCTTCTTGGGAAGGTGCTGCTGACTGTCCGACCACAGGGAACCGTCACATGACCCTCTCTGCTGCAGCACATGTGGGGAAAGCTGCCAAACAACCCGCGGAAATAAACAGAAAAACGCAGTGAGTCTGACCCGGACGAGCTGTTTGGATGCAGCTATTTGGGCTTAAACTCACGGAGCAGACTGGACCGATCCTGACCCGGTTAGAGCCACTTTGAAAGAGCAGAAGAAAGACGCAGCTGAACAGCCAGGCTGCAGAAATCCCCTCCCCACACTTAGCCTCATTTACAGCTACGGCGGCTGAATGCAGATAAGACCCTCTGAGATCTTTTCTTTTGGCTTGATTGCATGCTGGAAAGACTCCTCTCTTCTGCTGTTGCTTTCTGCCTGAAGCTACAGGCTTTTATTTAGCTTTGCAGATTTAGCCCAGAGGTTTTCACTTAAGACTTGTTGAACTATTAAACTGGTTCAAAAGTGCTGCAGGGCTCCCTCATTTTTTATCATGAGCAAAAAGTTTGATGGTTTAAGCCAGTTGTGTTCAAATAGCAGACATGAAAACATCACACAGTTTCTAGAGTCTTGTACAAATCAGCCCTTTGAGGGTTTTCTCATTCTACAAGCTGCTCACGTACAGAAAGGGGAAACATGCTCACATACAGTCAGAACCACATCTGATAGCAGCCCCATGTAAAGACATCCTGCGTTAGCTAGTTTCTCAGTCTGACGGATGTGTAGGCACATTGATTCGGCTAATAATGAACTTTTATTTCCTGTTGAGGTAACTGTAACTATGCAGCATAGAAAAGCTTGTGGTTTTCTGATTGCTGCTTCATGGAAAGCAATGTCGTTTTTTTTTCTTTTTTATGGCACAGTAATTCTGTTTGTGCTCCATTTCATGTCTTGCATCAAAGGTCAGAGAGCCCCGTTTCTAGTCCCCATCCTTACTTATTTGCTTATATAAAGAAATATGGAAATTCGACTCCTACATGGAGCTTTTAGTCTTATTGATAACATGGACAGTCTCTCTATATACCCATGAAGGGAGGAAATGGATTCAGACTGGTCTATTAGTTTGGCCAAGGTTAGACTTATAAAAGGCCATATGAGTATGAAAGAGCATCAGAGCATCAGGTGCACTTTGAGACTGAATCTCTGCTGAACTATCGGACAGAAACAGCCCGTCCCTCCCCGATACACCAACTGAAAACAGCACTACAGTTTGCCCTGAGCTCATGAATGGACACTTTACATAGTTTTATTCCCTCACACTCTAGTTCCTCATCCTTAATGATCACGGATCAGTAGTCGGCCTTAAGGAAGTATTTAAACATTAAACCTCTGAGGTATTAGGTTTCACTGTTTCCTAAAAGCTTGTAAAAAGCTTTCTGTATATTTTAAAACTGGTTTGCATTTTTTTCTGACTCCTTTGTTAACAGCAGAAGGAGTTTAGCTGACATCGTCATGAAAAAGACAATTGAAACCTTTTATATTTTGGATTATGACTTGGTTTCCGTTCTCTATTGAAGCTAATCCTGAGCTATACATTGACAGGCTGCATTCCTTTGCAGTTTCTCACATTGAATTAACATAAAACACAGGTTGAGCAGTAATGAATAGATGAGGGATGATGTACTAGGGTTCACTGATAACAAAAACCTGGCATGTATAGGTTGAAACAGCAAAGTGGGTGTGGGTTTTACAGTTCTGTTTATATGCTTTTGTTCTCCCTTATCATTGATATGTTTATTATAGGCTATTCAGGTGTGTACACCTGCAGGTAACCCACATAAGCAGCATAAGCTGCCTCTCCCTACAGATCTAAAGCCCAAATCTGAACTTGACGGTTTCCTGTTCAGAGATCTCTGCTGTTTGGGGTCCTGTTCCTTGTTCTGTTGACTTCTTTATCAGGGCTCTGTTCTAATCGAGCTGAGTGCACGTGGGATGTGGTCAGAAAACACCCCAGTTATCTGTTTCTTTTTCACCCGGCCTGCAAACTCATCCGTTCTTCTTCTGTTCCCTCCACAGCAGCATGTTGGACTCGGCCCTCTGAGGTGTTACAGAGCAGAGAGGATGGCCCATAAGAGGAAGTTGTGCCGGTGAGGCGGATCCTCCTGAAGCATGCCGGCTCTGGCCTCCTGATCCCCGGAGCCCCGCCTCGTCCCTCACTCAAATCGAAGTCTCCTCACCATGGCGTCGCCCTTCTTGTGGAAGCTGTCCTCGCAGAAGCTGGGCTTCTTCCTGGTCAGCTTCGGGTTCATCTGGGGCATGATGCTGCTGCACTTCACCATCCAGCAGCGCGCCAGCCACGAGAGCAGCGCCGTGCTGCGCCAGCAGATCCTGGACCTCAGCAAGCGCTACATCAAGGCCCTGGCCGAGGAGAACCAGAGCGTCATGGACGGGCCGTACGTGGGCACCATGACTGCTTACGGTGAGGAAACCTCTGGAAACGCACCCTCTGTAGCACCAGCAAATACCCCGGTCCCCCGTTCTGAAACGGCTAGCTTAATCAAACGAGTCCTCCTTAACCCTTTAAAGCCTGATCCAAGAAAAATAGGAAGAATATTGGATTTTTTAGTCTGAAGTCTTTCTTTGGCCCCTCAATAACATATGAAGAAATAAATATATATTTTGATCAAATTGGCGTGCAATAAGTCAAAAATATATTTTGGTGTCGTCTTCTACTGGCTGTTATCAGGTATATCTGAATGTGTACAACAGGGGTTTGAGCAAAGCTTTTACCACTGAATGATGCAAAAAGTCTCAGATCCAAAAGACTTCAGAAACCGTATGTATCAAATATGATACATTTGGCTTTATAGGGTTAAATCAGGCAGCCCTCCCGGTGGTTCTGATGGGAAAATGCCCCTCACACAGCCTCCATTTAAAACACATTTAATGGTTCCACTTGTCCAGGCACAAGAGAAGCCGGCATGGAAGATTTAATGCTGATACGGCCACACCGGAGCATAATGCTGCACCGGAGCAGGTCCAGAGACGCATCAATAAGTTATTCATGCCATTAATAGAGCCGTATGGTTCGATGGGAGGCTTCATTAGAAACCTAAGATTGGAATTGATTGTTGTGTAATTCCCAGAGAAACAGCAGGATACAGTAAAGCCTAGCAGATTAAATCTGCTCCCAGGCAACCTAAAGAAGATGCCGGCGTATGGAAAGTAAAGGAGCGCTGGCAGCTTAGAGCTTTACAGGGATTTCCTTTTTCAGGAGCTTTAACCTGATTGTTGCAGCAGAACATGCAAAATATGTAACTCGTGGTTCAGTATGTAAAGCGTTTCAGTCTCTGACACCACCAAGACGCTGCTGCAAATCATGTGATTAATGGAGGTGAGGTAATCTGAGGACCTTACATGGATTTCCCTGTTCTGCCAGCCAGCAGCTTTGTTTTGTATATGATGGATTGATCCTCCTGTCATTGCTGCAGTTTATTGACCGCTGTCCAAAACCACATAAGAATCCATCTCAGGGTCTTAATTAGAAAGCTTCCCATCAGGATACTTTGTGCTTCCTCCTCCTGCTTCCACCTCATTTGTAATGACTTAAAAATAAAAAGACAGGGTTTTCTCATCTGCTTTGCATCAGTGACCCTAAAAAATCCATCTGAATTCAATGTTGCCACATTTTTTAGGATAATTACAATTGTACAAACAGCATCCAGGTTGAGCAGATGGAAAAACTTGCATGGGTTTGCAGCCCTGGACTCCTGTTTTCCAATAACTCCACAGCAGTCAGACATGAGGAGGTTCAGGCCTCCTCCTCCATACTTGTACTTCTCTGAGCGGCTGGCTTTGTCCTGCTCTCTGACGCTGTACCTGTTCTCCGGCAGGTCAGCAGTTATTACGGATGTCTTTGTGCTCCCTGCTGCTGTCGGGGCCTGAATCAGGAGGAGTCCTGTTGCCTGGGAGTGGTATAAGCTTACATATATTGCTGCTGTAATCCTTTATGGCCTCTCTTCCCCAGAAGGTCACAGTGAGCTGCTTCTGTGTCTGTCGGCTCGGCCTTATTATGTTGGTCAGATAGAGCTCGCTGCCTCATGGATGACAGGAAACAATTGGGGTCACTGATGAACAGCCTGGGCTTATGCTCCTGTGTAATCACTTCTTTAAATTGGTTATGTCCCGAATCAAAAGAAAGGGAAACGTCGAGATGGGCAGAAATGTGCTGCGACTGGTGATGGATGGCAGCTCAGGTCTCAGGCTCCAAACCTGGCTGCTAATGAGCTGCTAACCCCATGCTAGCTTCCCCCAGCAAATGTTGCTATAGAATTTGCCCATTTAACACTGTTTCACCAGCATCTTGTTGGAAAGAAAAGCCTTTTTTCTTAATCCAGAAACTGACACATTATTCAGTCACAGATTTAAAGATCCTCAGGTATCCTTCTCCTTCCTCCTCTCTAGTGTGTGGACAGCAGCCTAGGGAACTCATCTATTTATTCCGTGTTATCATTATCACGCTTTGCATTGCAAAGCCAGTCCTTTCAGTTTGTGTCTGGCACTTCTGCGCTGCCCTGCGTCCAAATCAGACAAATTCTCTGGCCTCTCTGTTCACACAAACCCTGCTGTGCCAGGCTGTGCTGTGCACTTGCCAATCTCTCAGATGTGATGAAAACTGGCATATCCGATACAGGAAAAAGTGGAGCTAATGTGCAAGAAGAGCCAGCATATCTGTCCACACATAGCCGAGTGTTAACAGAACACAGGTTTATTGGGTATCGCTCAGCTCTGGGAGAGTGAGGACGGGCTTTTCCTCAGCCGTTTTTAACAATGCGCCGGAGAGCTGTGTCACAGAACTTCACATTTCTGTGCAAATGTCATGCAAATGCTGCAGGTTGAAGCATGGGAGAAATACCAGCGCAAACAAAGGTGAACAATGCCCCGCGTTAGGATTTGTTAGTGGCATTTGCATGGCTCATGCATCTCATTAAGGATCAGACTGTGCAGCTCAGGTCCCGGAAAAGGGCTGGAACTGGCTGCTCTGGTATTCTTAAATGGTTGGAGGGTGATTTGGGAAGTTTTATTTGGGGATGCAGAAACCTTTTGAGCTGTCCTGGACTGCTAAAGTTCCTCCAGTGGCTGCTGTAAGATAATGGTGACTCCCCCTCTCCAGACTTGAAGAAGACCCTGGCTGTGCTGCTGGACAACATCATGCTGAGACTGGGGAAGCTGGAGTCCAAAGTGGAGAACATCTACAACGGCACGGGGGGCAACCTGACCAACGGCAGCAGCACGGCCAGCCCCAGCGCGCCCAACTCTGAGAAGGTCAACGTGGCCGGTATGTACACACACACCTCCTGCTTCGTGTTGAAACTTTGACAACCCTCCTGTCAGGCTCCTGTTCAGCATGGCTTACTCACAATCTGAAAGTCCCCAGCAGAGGCAGGAAACCAAAGAAACCGCTGGGATTGTGTCTGGCTTCCTCTGTCTGATGAAGGTTCTCAGAAGAGTGCTCGTCTTCTGCTGGTCTCCAGGTTTAAATGATCGGAGGGCTTTCAAAAAGCATTTCTGTTGTTTAAAATACGAGCTGTAATTGTCAGTGGAGCCCGAGTTGCTCCATCGGATTAAAGGAAAGAGGCTTGCTGTGAACCGATGGGATCGTCCCCTTTGATTCGTCACATTTTGAAAAGGGAGCGAGATACATTTCTGCAGCTTAGAGCTTCTACGTCATTCTGAATTCAGCAGCCTTTGCTGTGTGGAGCCTGAAAACACCCTCACAGGCGTTTGAACACACCAAGTAAAGAAAATCCGACCTAACCAGGAAGCCAAAGAAAAAAGATGTTAAGAATCAGGAAATGTAGAGGGCTTGATTCATGGTATCATGTTGACGTATTCAACATATTTATAGCCTTCTGACACAACGACACCAGGAAGGAAGCGAGCCGGAGGCCATTAGCACCTTAGCATCAGCTCTGCCAGTAAGAAGCCTCAGGCAGCAGGCGGCCAGCTCTGAGGGAGGCCAATCTCACACCAAAACCCAGCAGGTTTGCAGCCCTCCTGTACCCGATGCTCTGATGTGTGCAGTTAGCATCACACTGCAGGTGGAAACCAGAGAAATATCTAATACGTGTCACCTTTTGCCCTCTCAATCACAGCTTCACAGTCACAGCTGTGGAAAGTTTCCTGGTAATGTTTTCACAAATGTTTTGGCTCCAGTGTAATAAATGAGCTGTAGAACCAGTCTAACCAGAAAAAGACACAAAGTTATCAAACAAAAAGTGGCTGGGATTGACTTCTAGTTGTTGCATAACAAAGATAGTACACAGAGCCATGAAAAACCAACAGCAGATCAGGATAGCAGACAGAAAATTCCCATTTTCATCACAGAAGAAGCAGCAAACTGCAGCCGGCTATCCATCTGGAAGTCATTCAGACCTCCAGGACACAATCATCTCATTTAGAAAGAGAACCGAGCACGTTTTCCTCTGTTCCTGCCTCTCCTATGAAGGCTGGTTTCTGGAGCAGAGACTTTACAGTTCTGTGAAAAGGCCACAAACCGACCCATCAGTTTGACTCTAACCTGTTCTCATTCCTGGCCTTTTTGACTCACTAATGGTTTAAATCTCCCACAACTCCCTCATGTCCACACGTATCATCGTTAAACTCCCTCCACTTTAAATTATGTGGCCTGTGTCTAAAACTGCTCCTCATAAAAACCCGTCGTTATTCAACGGACACGTTCAGCTGCAGGTAAAATACGAGCCTCCTTCCACTGTTTGTGGACAGTTCACTGCTGTTATCACCCAGATCTGGAACGCATCTCCATTTTTCTGCAAGGCTTTGTTTGCTGGGAACGCGGAGCAGGAAAAACATTTGGGTCCTGAATGCAGGACGAGCTGAGAAAGCAACACCCACGTCTCTGCTGGCAGCGATCTGAGGGCTGTGGAGCTCCGGGCTCCACTGGAGCGCGTCTCCTGCCTGGGAGTGGGTGGCAGGCAGAGCTCGCCAGCTCCACCAGAGCTGCTTCCTGACTGGAGCGCAATTATGGAGATAAGAATCGGGGCAGTGAGGGGAACACGCCTGCCTTTCACAGAGGCTGCTATCAGGCTGAAGGACTGGACTCCTCTAAGCTCTCTGTCAGCGGCCTGTCAGGAGCCAAAGCGCCTCTTTTCTCCGCCTCCATCCCCCTTTGCTTTCCACTACAGCCGGGGTACAAGTGTACATACATTTAGGCTCGCAAACGTAAAGGAAACGCATTGTTTTCTCAAGTAAAACCGAATGGAAAGGCTGGTGAGAGGCGAGCAGTTGTCAGAATAATTGTACAGTTCAACAGGCTGCCACCGAACTGCTGCAGATAGAGAGATAAATAAGTGGATGACATCATTCAAAGAGTCAAATCTCAGACAGACAGGAATAAAAACAATCTTCTCAGATGTTAATGTCTTTGTTTAGATGACTCCGTCTCTTTGAAGCTGTCCCCATTCACGTTTAGTTGATCTTTTTTATCTTCCTTTTTGAATATAGCTGCCTTAAACTCCTGCTGATATTTCAGCTGATGGCTGCGTGTCAATTCCCTGTTTGGCTTAGAAATCACCTGCAGTATGGAAAATCCTGCTCTTTATTGTTTTCTGCACAGAAGAATCCTTTTGGGTGACGCCTTTCGGAGAGAATTTGATCCCAAATGTCCCACTTTGGATCTTATAGCTCATGAGAACAGAAGCCGATCTGCCTCGCTGGTCTCGGATGACAGCGTCTCATTTGTTTCTCTGCCTGTGGGACAGGCTCCTGCTTTTGAATCCCACTTTTTTTCCCACTTTTGACCATAAATGCCTGAACGCCAAACCGCCGCCCAGCTGTGGCTGCTGCTGGGTGGGAGTCGGATGGACTCAGGCCGGGGAAGCCTCGTCTTCCCGGGTCTCATTAGTGTGAATAATCATCCTCCCCAGTGGGGCTCTGAGGGGCCTGGCCTGTAATCTCCTGCCAGCCAGAGGTGTGATAATTACTCAGGCTTTCATTTCCAACGGCCTCCATCTTTCTCCGTTCGACCACCTCGTTTTCAGGCTTCAGCTTCCAGCATTTTCTCTCCTTTGATGAGATTCGAGGCCCGGGGTCGAAGGTTCCTGTGTCTCTCTGTGTGGCATCCAGCTGCCGAGGCTTTGAACAGCCAGGGACTTTCTTTTCATAGGCTGGACCTGATGTGCATCTCCTCTAACTGCAGTTTAAGATTAACTTTAGGAGTTACTGATCTATTAAAAGTGATAAATGTGACTCGTCATGACGGTTCTCGGCTGCGTTTAATATCCTGCTGCAACTCAGACTGACACTGAATTATTTTATATTTAGTCCTGATTTATCAGCAAGTAGCTGAAATAAAACGCTGTAGATGAAAAAAATTCTTTTGATATCTTGCCTGAACTCAAAGCTAAATTATCTTTATTGTTATGGAGGAAAAACTTGAAATGCTTTCTGTTCTGGAAGACATCAAATGAAGCATTTCATCTGCACAAATGACGCTAATTGTTGCTTATTTTTTAACCTTATTTTCTCAATAATCCAATTAAACAAGCCGTTCTTCCTGTGACGTCTAGTGAATGTATTGGAGGTGAAATAAGCCCCAGATGAACAGCAGTCGTCCCTTTTATGTGAGCCTGTATGAACTAAAACTGAAGCTGCTTCTTATCGACCTGAATAAGCAGAGTTTTAGGTGTTGTCAGCCTGGATGTGTCTCTTCCTCATATCTGGAGGACGTCTTTAGTGCGTATCTAATTGGAAAAGGCTGTGTGGCCTCTATTGTGCTTTGGAAGGCCTGTTTACTCATTCAGCACTCAGATCAATACCAATAAACCCCCCCCCACACACACACACACACACACTCCCACTCCCACCGGGCTTTAACGGGTTGCTGAGAGAAGCTGTCTGCTCCCACACATCCTGCAGGAATGTGTCGCATCACGACAGAACCCGTCCACCAGTCCGACTAATCCTTTTACTATAGATCACAACCTGTTCTGAAGGCTTCATAAAGAGCACCGCGCCTCCTCCCGCACGTCCTCAGATGGTGACTGAGCCTCTGCAGGACTTTGCTCTTTCTTATTCTCTTATTCCACTGCGACTGATTAGCTGTGTGCATGTTTTCAAAAGCATCTGGGCCCCATCGCAGCTCTCACTGCTCACAGGATGAATTTTCTGCCTCCATCCTGCTTTGTTCAGGTCCCCGGAGATCGCTCCCATATGGAGAGCAGGAGATTTTTACAGCAGTGCTGTAAACCAACAGGAGGAAACTGTGAAGTTTTCCCTTTTATGAAGTCGTTTGTGGAACTGCAAGTGCTTCCTAAGGTGCCACGCATGTGATGTAATCAGTTTACTTGAATTCTTCTGTTTTTATCTGAACACAAAGGCAGTCTTACAAGTAGAATATGGAAAACAGCCTCTGAACTCTCCCCAAAAATAAGACTTGAATGCAGCTCAGCGGCAGCCATGTTTGTTTCTGTTTATCAGAGACAGAGGTGGAATTGTGACTATTTTCAGCACAAGTGTTTCACAATCCCTGGTTTCATAGCAGAAATATCAGAACAGAAGACGTGCTGCTGGATGCAGAGCAAATTCAATTCGTGCTGTTTTACCCTGCAAACCTGCAGTCAAATCGGCTCTTTGATTCACTGAAATTACCACAAATTATAAAAGGAGTGTTGCTGGTAATAGATCTCAGTTTGCTTTAGTGCCCAATATTTAAAGTGAGTCCATTGGAGCTTAAATATGTCATTTGAATTAATTCACCTTTACCTTTGTTTGGTAGCTGAAAGTATAAATTAATTGTTTTCAGTGTGTTCAACAACCAGTTTGATTGTTTTAGGATACAACGGGGACAAGCAGATGCAGTTTTTACTCACCAGACCAGGAGCAAACGCTTTGAGTCCTTTGCTGACGAAAAGATGTCTCCAGGTTCTTTATGAGACAAGAGAGTGGGGATATGATGTCCACCGGCCAGGAGCCTCTGCTGCTCCATTAGATGTCTGAGGATGAGGTGCTTCTGGTCCTTTTCGTCCTCCTCTGTGGAGCAGATTGGACATTTTCAGGGTCAAAAAGAGGAATTACTCTCACAGCTTATACATACATACATCTTTCTGCTGCATGTAATTTATTCCACCGGTAACTTTTAATGAAGATTTTCTATAGAGTTGATGCTTTTGTGGGAAAACCAAACCAGCCTGTCCTCCAGCCTCTGTCCCTGCTGGAGGACCAGGCTGATGAGGGAGGCGGGGGGGATGTGGACACATCTGGGCCTGACGCACCATCGGTTGCAACACGTGCACCTCACTTTCTCTCTGTAAGCCGAG